GCCAGACAGAATCTCATGAGGAAGTTCTATGCAAAGGCATATACACAGCTACAAGCATCTATGCTCTCAAAATGAGATTATTGAAAACTGGCCATGTAAACTTATTTGGAGGAATAGATTTCCCACTAAGGTGATCTGTTTTACCTGGACAGCTTTAAATGGTGCCTGTTTGACCCAAGATAACTTAGCAGAAGGAGCTTTCAGTTGATTAATAGAAGGTACATGTGGCAGAGGAACCTGGAGTCCATTGACAAATCTACTCATATACTGTCCAGTTGCAGCAGAACTTTGGAACTTCTTCTTCTTCTCTATCTTTGGACTGAGTTGGATGCAGCCTCAGTCAATTAAAGATGCCTATGAAAGCTGGAGACTTTGCAGAGTTGATAAAGCCATCAAAAAGATCTAGAGGATGATACCAGCTACTATATTTTGGTGTTTATGGAATGAAAGGAACCGCATATGTTTGGATGGAATTTCAACTCCAACACACTTTGAAGACTAACTGTTTAGTCAACCTCTACCGCTAGATGACCCTTAACCCTGTAAATTGCCCAATTATTTTTTTAAGTTTTGTTAGCTCCTTAAACTTAATTACATATGTACTGGAGTTGGCACTACTTTTGCTTTTGTATCTATTCTTCATCTTCTTGATGCTTTTCAATGATATCTTTCTGACTTCGTAAAAAAAACTTGTTATGCTACTTTACAACCGATCTCCATCTATATTTTTTTGGGATAACTGTGGTGTTCGGGTCAGCATACGCGCAACCTCCCTAATTGGTTAATTCCATGAAATACATGCTACCTCCCACCAGCATATATACTGAATAACTCTGGTCATCAAGGCTTGGACAAATGCAAAGAAATCACCAAGTGTTTAGTCCCCGTTCAGATTTGAACTTGAGACCTCATGGTTCTCTACTCACCCTTCATTGGCCACTAGATCAGACTCTTGTGTCAGCTCCATTTATTTTATCATCTTTCATTGACACAACCTCATTCCCACAAGGAATATCTTAATTAGTTGCTTCTAAACCTTTGGGCGAAAGAAAAAATGACATGCAGCAAGTAGGGATCCCATCTAGTACACTAATGGCTGTCAACCTTCCTCCAAGGATGAATGCTACTTTTTCTTTACTGGTGAAGAGGGAAAATTATATTTCCTCCAAAGAACTTAACTTTTTTTCACATTTCTCAATCACTCCTTCCCAAATGTAGTATAGTTTTGCTTTGCCCCCAAAGTAACTCCAACTAAACTAAAGGAAATTGTCTACTTCAATCCCAGTATCATCATAGCCAGCTTATGAAACCTCTGGACAGCATTTACTATGAAACAATCACTCTTTGCTAAGTTGATATGTGACCAAGCTGTCCTTAAAGATTAATAGAATCGCCTTCAGATTCAGAAACTATGAGTCATCCAGATACAAAAACTAAACTCATTCGGAATTTCCTTCTTCTTTTTAACAATGGCTTCCGGCCAGCTTCCCCACACCTCGACTACTCCACTGGGTAATTGTACCTGTTACCTGCTAGTCCTCCTACTAGCAGGAGTATTGGGTAACTATGTCCACCATGTTTTAGGCAAATGCGAAGAAATCACCTAGTGCTTTTCTTTTTCATGGTTGCAATAACCAATAAGCTACACTCAGTTTTGCACAATCTATGATGAAGACGTCAAAACAAAGAGCGAAGGAGAAGCCGATTTGTGATTGCAGAAAAGCAAGTTGGCAATGAAAAATGAAGTAAAAGGGCCTTCTAGGCTCTAGCAAAATAAAGTAATAACACAAGGCACAAAATGCAATCCCAACATATTGTTAAGGACTCAAAAAAAAAAAAATGCAATCCCAACATTCGAAAAAGCGCTAGTTCTCAAAATTGCTCCTTTTTTTGGCAATACATTTGTTCCTATATTTATTTCTAGACAGTTGTATTGCACATACAAAAAATATTATGTTTTGGTACTGCCTTGATTAAAGTTGAATCCACAGCCAGTCAGCCAGATGATAAAATAGCAACAATTTTTCTAATAGCCTAAATGCTGCTATGTAGTATGTTAGTGAGTTAAATTCAGGTAACTGCACTAAATTAGGCATCTTTTCTTCCGCATTTCTTCCATTAAAGTCTGAAGAGGGTTAATATTATAAACACAATCTGTGCAATCTAATGAGAAGTAATATTATAAACACATCCCCACACATTAGTAATCCGTGAAATGAACATAGATGTTAAACCTCTAAGTCTTCACCATCTAAGTTTCGAGAACACATACCATCTATTCCAAAGAGGGCCTTCGCCAGAGGTGAATTCATGGCAGAACGAGCATTTGGAAAGTCTGCACTCCCAGCTTCCACAACTGGCTTCCCAGGATAGAACATTAGGGATAAAGGATTCGGAGTTGATTGAGTTTGGATAAACATGGTCCTCTTCTGGCCTGTTCACAGAACGTACATGATCAGGATACAGACATTCACAAAATCTAATAGTTAGCACACTCATTTATCACATGAGGCAATTACTAGATCAACTGTGTAAACTATAAAATCTTAATCTTTTTGTAAAGGCAGAAAATGATGTGGTTTGCGAGCTATTGCATAGGAGCGGGGGTTTTACCCTGTGCGCACCCAAAGGGTAGCGGCTCCGGGTTTCCCTTGTCATCAAAAAAAATAAATACAAATTTTCTTGATCCTTTTTCTAGTTGCTTCTATATGCAAATTGCACAAACAAGTTCCATTTTCATTTCTAAACGCTGACTAAGTTCAGCTCCCATGGAATCTCATCAATTATCAACAGAATTCAAATTCCTTATAATTGTATGCTCAATTCCCAATATTCATTGAAAACTTCTCATGTAGCCCTGCTAATTCTTTTTCTAGTACTAAGGCCACATATATGTACTCATTAGTAGGAAAAAAAAGCCTTCACCTTCAAAACAAACAATCATTCAAAACTGGTGTCATCCAGGCTTCTAGTTCAAGCTCATCAATCGTCCGGAAAAAAAATTCTTAAATTTATGAAAACACTCTTCAGAAAGAGTCCAACTTTACATTTTCCCCTCCTTCCTTACCCCAAACATTTTACAGTAAAAATCCCGTAAACCCAAAAATATCCAGAAAACACCAATTGTACTCTCGTGTAGTTGCAAAAATTCACATCAAATGATAGACATTCATGCTCTCTAGTGACTATCCCGAAATTATTTTATTTTTTTTTAAAAAAGAGAGGAACTAGCTGAATATAAAAACTTACCTCCAAAATGGCTCCATAATGGCGGGCATGAAAAAGGAATCTTTGAAGGCTTTATCGAAGTGAAATCAGAGAACGCATGCGGCGTATTAGAAGATAAAGCGTAAAGAAATCGACGAGATGTGGAAAGTGAACCATTTTCTACATAGGGTTTAGTTAACAATCTACAGCTGCGGAGATTCGTTCGCGTTATCAATCTCCCTAATAATCCCTTCATTACCACAGTTTCTCGTACAAGCTTCTGGAAAAATCTAGATTCTTCGAGCTTCAATTACAGATTTTCATGGCGGTATTTTGCCTTTTGATGGAATTTCAGACTGAAACGTCAGATGGGAGAGAAAATGACAAATATGATCCCTCAAATATGAAGTTAGGTTTGAAATAGTACCTTAGGTTACCAGTATGTGAAATAGAAACACCAAATAGCAAACAAAGTAGACATGTTCACTCTACGTGGCGTTTTACATAATAGTTTTGTGTCCTATAAGGTGTTCTGCAGGTGTGTATTATGTTACGTAAAATATACGTGTCTACTTATTTAATTTTGTATAAATTTAAATGTCTATTTGTGCACATCCAAAATTAGAGAATATAAATGTCAGCTAAAATAAAAAAGTAGCTTATAGTCAAAAAGTTATAAAGAGGAATAATTGTAAAAGTCAAGAAGTACCACCATTGATTTTTGATGAAGAATGAGCTAAATCTTGCTAATAACATATTATAAAAATAAAGTAAAATAAGACTAAAAATACTACTAGAAGATACCAATATATAATAGAGAGACAAAGAGATGAAAATTTTCTTATATTTCTAATAAGTATTTTTAAATGTACACAATATGAATTTTCATAAGCATAAAAAAAGTTAGTAATAAACATGATATTAATTATAAAAATTATGAAGGAAGAAAAGAATATGCATCAAAATTGGCAGCAAAATTATAGTCTTGTCAAAATTTTGATCGAATTTCAATATAAATATTAAATGTCAAATTAAAAATTTAAAGATGAAAAGAAATTTAATTCAACCTCCCAAATTATTATTTTTCATTTTGGGAGCAAAAACAATAGCCTTACTTGTCAGAATTAATTCTTAAAAAATCTGCCACCTGTCTAATTGTGTCCCTCCTTTAATCACTTGTCACTGCCACATCCACATAAGTTTTTTTTTTTTTTTTTTATGTTTAGACTATAGAGTCCGATTCTATCCACAAATATTACAATTCCCCAAAATCAGCATATTTTAATTGGTTCGTACTATTTTAATTTAATATGAAATTTTAAAAGTTAAATATTTTTCAATACTTATTATACTTTTAAATTGAAAATAAATAATATCAAAATATATATTAATTTTATGTTTTTAAATATATGAGGTAAACATAAAAAATTATCAAAAGAAAGATATCCTTTTAAAACGAATTAAAGAAAAAGATATTGATTTCAAATGGAACTAATAAAAACATAATAAGGGATTAATTATGAGTAAATTTGTTTTATTTATTTTTGTATCGAAATTAGTTATTTACGCATTAATTATTTTATTTTTTATTTACATAAAAAATAATACATAAATTTTGTCATAACTTGTATATGTATTAACTAATATATGTGGATTCTTATTATTTTTGATTTATTTAACAAACTTCTTGATATAAATTTTATGAAAATTAAAACCCGTTGCATATAAATAATTTATTTCTTATCCGACTATAGGTGCCATTACTATGCATGCCCTCGAAGCAAAGCAAAATTATAATATTGTCAAACCCCACTTTCTCTCTCCCGTCTCTCACATTCTCTCGAAACCCTAGAACCGTTTTGTTCTCTTTTTCTCCTCTTTTAGATTCTCTCAATCTCTATGAAATTTTTCGAAATCTTCGAATCTAGCTTCTCTGTAATCTTGATTTACAGCTGGATTTGATGATTCCTTTCATGTCTAAATCCTAGTTTTTTTTTTTGAATTTTTTTGATTTTTTTTTGTTGGGCTGAAAAATTGAACCCATGGAGGGCTCTGTGTCTGTTGCTGATGATCTCGGAGCCCCACCGGAGTCATGGGAGGTGGCTGACTTGGATGCTAGTATGAGACGGCTTATACTTTCTTCTTCGAAGAAGGACCAGTCTGATTCTTTATCTTCTTCTGTGAATAATAATCAATCTGAGCTGCCTGATTCCTTGGCTTTGGCTGGTGCTGGTTCAGCTGCTGTTTCAGGTAGTGTGTCGGAGGATGTTGTTAGCACCGTGGATCAGTTTCTCCGCGAGGCTTTACAAAACCCTCGAGAGCGTCTTTCCGGTTAGTATTCCACTTTTTGTTATAAAAGTTCTGATTTTTATGCTAATTTGCATCAGCGTTAGGATTTGTTTGTTGATTTTTGTTTTGTTGTGGTATGTATAATTCTTACTGTACTTGTATAGTCACAGTCACATTGCTGTTAGCTGTGTCAATCAGTTAGTTACAGCTGAATTGTAAACTATTTGGTGTTGGCTGCATGAATCCCAAATGAATGCAGTGTTAGTATTAAGCCTTAATGTGAGAACAAGACAAGTATTGTGGTTCAGTTTGGCTGATCACACATTTGGTAAAAAACTGAAAGGCCAACTGTGGTTTAAATGGTAATTTCTTTTATAATCAGTGTGCAGTAGTCTTTGCTTTGTGAATTGCACCAAGTTTCATGTTTGGTTGGATGAGATTCATTACATGATGTCTCTTTTGGATGACTACAATTTCAGATTGGATGTTCTGTCAGATTGCTGAAATGTAAAAACAATCTATGTTATTATTGATCTCTTTTGACTACATACCAAAGATAATAACTGTTGAGGAGAAAGAATGCGGTTCAAACAGATTGAACGCTTAGAGGATAAGGCATGTGTCATTGCTTACCTCCATGTCATTTTATTAGTGGGATATAATGAAGGAGTAATCTATCGAATCCTTCCACCAAAGTTCAAGCCTTGGGAAGTGCTTTTTATATGTCATGTTACTTGTATTTAAAAGATGATTGAAGCTAAGGAATTATAAGTATATATGCCAGTGAGCTTGGCAGGTGGACTCTACTAATATCCTTGCTAAAAGGCGAAGAAGGTAACTGGGAAGCTAGTTCCTGACATTCGATTAGCTTTCATCAAAGGCAAGCAACTCTAAAATGCAATCGTAGTAGAATGTAGAATAGTGCCAGGATGCCAACATAAGGCTGTATTGTTGCCTAAGCTTGATATTGAAGAAGTATCTGGTCAAGCTAAGTGGATGTTCATAACCATCTATTGAAAGACTTGGGATTTGAATAAAAAGGGATCAACTAGATTTATTTGTGCATCTCTACAAATGGAATGTCAGTTTGTAATATGGCACACCAACAAGATGCTTTCCAACAAAAAGGGCCTCGGCCAAGGTGATCCCTTGCAGAATGTTGAAGAACGTCAGGTTGATTAACTGATTTAAGAACTTCTCTGTGGGGGACAAGAAATCACAAACATTTCTCATTCTATCTCAAATGACACACTGGTTATGTGTGATACTAATAAACACTACTACCATCTATCGTAACAGATAAATAATAATATAGGAGGAGAATAACCTATTGGAAACAACCTCTCTATCCACCAAGGTAGGGATAAGGTTAGCATACATCCTACCCTCCCTAGAAGAGCATCCTGAGCTGCTCAGCTTTGCTAGGGATACTAGGGCCACAATTGCAGACTTTAGATCTAATCAAGGATGTCATATAACCTTCAGAAGGAACTGTGATAATTGGGTTTTGGGATGAATGACTGCTGCTGCTGCTTTTTTTTTTTTGTGGATAAGTCTACTTCTGCAGTTGTTTAGAGTCAGCTCCTGAACTAACACTAAAGTGCAGACTCTATAGGCTGGAAAGGACAGAGAAAGGGGTAATTCACAATGAAATCCTGCTACAAATGGCTGCCATCTCACAGTGTTTCTCCACCTTATTATCCCCAGAAAAGAAATGGGAAATTTCAAGCTTTATTTAAGGTTGCTGATTACTTGTTCAAAGTCTATTTAATCCTAAACAACTTGCAGAAAGGACTCTCTATTTGTAGCAGATGCCCTTTATGTGAAGAAGAATCTGGGGATGTCAATTGTCTCTTTTTGCGTTCTGCTTTCAGCCGGAAGGTTGGAATCTGTATTTGACTATTTTTGAGCTTGAATGGACAATTCCAAAGACTTGCTATTAAGTTGTTATAATGCTGGATCAGAAGGCTTTAGAAAGAACCAAAACCATTCCTGCTTGTAGCTGGTGGGTAGTCTGTAGGGAATGGAATTCTGGAATCAAATATTTTGAGGGCAATCAAAGTGTGTAGGTAAAAGAAATACAAACACAATTTTTGCTCACCCTTTGGTGTTGAGAGCTTCTTCTAGACTTCTATAATTCCCTGGGGAACTGAGGTTTTACATCAACAGCCGTGTGCAACCCCACTTTCTGCTGATGTACATCTTTGAAGTCTTTGCTGAGTTATCAAAAAAAGGAAGAAACGGGCAAGTGTTTGCAGGATTTTTTTTCCATTTTGGCTGAGAAGTATAACATGAGTCTTTTCCACCTCACTAAAAAAAGAAGGATACGAAGAAACCTTGAACCTTTTCAATCGGAAAACACTATGTTCTCTATTATATATTCTCAGATATGTAGTATTTACTCTTCAGCTGTTATGCTGAGGTAGGCTTCTGGTCATTGAATACAAGTTGTATGATGACTTATAAAAATATTCACGATATAATGCTTCACTTACCTTTAGGTGCCGCCTTTTCTGTTCTTAGATCTGGCTGTCCATTATTTTTTAACAATGTTGTTTCATCCTATGTGTTATGTTGAGATAGCTAGATTCTCCTTAAATATTGCTCTGTATGCATTTTATTCCCTTTCCCTTCTCTTTTTGTCTTTATCTTTTTGTGGGTGGGTGGTGTAGGCTGTGGTGCTGGGTCAGTCTTTGTTAGCCTGATTGATTATTTTTATCATGTGCATTGTGACTTATCATTGCTTTTTCTCAGTTCTGAGGATGGAGCAAGATGTTGAAAAGTTCATCAGGGATCCTGGTCGACAACAGATGGAATTCCAACAGCTGCCTACCTCCTATTTGCGACTGGCTGCTCACCGTGTGGCACAGCACTATTCACTACAATCAATGGTTCTGTTGGACAATAGTTTACCAGATGGCTCGGGTTCCAGAATTATTGTGCGCAAGACTTCTGAATGTCGGATGCCTTTGATTCGCTTGGCTGACATTCCGGTGAATTTGCCTCAAGGAGATACTGGTGTGGTTAAGGTTGCGATAAAGCAGAGGCCACAGAAAGGTTCACAAGCAAGTGGTTTGAATTCAAATTCATCAAAGGGAAATTCTGCTAAAAGTGTTGAGGAAAGGAAGGAGGAATACAATAGGGCTCGAGCACGTATATTTAACTCTAATAGTTTAAGTGGGAGCTCCAATGTAAAACCTGAAACTGAATCAAGGTCACAAGATACTTACCAGTATGGTCCTATAGGCATACCACAGTTGGAAGAAAAAACCAGTTCAGCTGGCGGCTCTGATTTGAATTCTGGGCGGGGTCTGATTGATTCTTCAACAAGTAGCAGTAGGTCGGCTAGAAGTAGGACAGAAAAGGAGCCAGTTGGTAGGTCTAAATCTTATAATAAAGTTGCTATCTTTCGTGATCGGGAAATTGACCGGAAGGACCCTGATTATGACAGGAATTATGACAGGTCTTTCTTAGTCCTCTGCTATTTTATGAATATACTGTAAAGTAACCCTTCCCCTCAGTTTGTGTTTTGTGTACGTGTTGGTGGTTCTGTCCAGTGGTATCCCTTTTAACATGGAACTGCTCTCTTCTTTATGGTAATAAAATCACCCTCTACTCTGTATACAAATGTTCTAATTGATTATTTCTACAAAAGCTTCATTCCTATTGAGATTTACTGACCAATCTGGATAAACGCGTGGGGATCTGTGATTCTCTCTTTTATTACATGTCCGACTTCTGATGCTTACCACCTATGGACCTTTGCTTTTTGTGTAGGTTCCTTTTTTTTTGGGGATTGGATTGAATATAACCAGAGGTTTGGGTTATAGTATGCTTATTGATGTTAAGGTGGTTTGGAGCAACTAGTCAGTTTCCTTTATTTTTTTATTTAATTTTTAAATGGTAATGTTAGTCAGTTTCCTTTATTGTCCTTGTTCCTTCTCTTGCTTCTTCCCTCTCTATTGCATGTGCATTGGTTGTTTAAATTATTTTGTTGACATCCTATTGATATTTGATGCTACTTCAACTGTGTATATGAGAATGTGTTTTGTCATTTCCCTCAAAAGCTTTTAGTACGAATTGTGAAGTTTGTGTTTATGTTTTACATAATTATGTGCAAATATAATACATCCATCTTCTGTTGTGTCCCCCTCAATTTCATCTCTTCGTGCTTGTGGGTATTTTCAATACAATGTTCATGTCGTTTTTCACTTTTTCTTGAAACTTAGTCTGAGAGTCTAATCGGACGGTTGTCTTTAATTTGTAGGTACATGCAAAGGTTTGATCCTGGGTTTGGATTCGCTGGTGGCCCATATACAATTCAACCCATGTATGCTCCTGCAATTAACTATAATACTGAGTTTCCCCAGCTTGGATCTGCTCTTCGGTCTCCCATTTCCGCTGAAAACCAACCTCGTCCACTTCCTCAACATTTACCTGGGCCTTGGGCAACAACAACGACTCCAGGTATTGGTTATGGTCCAGCAGAGAGCATGATGCCTCCCCCTTTTAGTCACAATCATGTTAGTGCACGCTCAAACTCAGCTATATATTTACATTCAACCCAGTATCCTTGTCAGCGTCCTGGAATGACTTTTATCCATCCTCACGAGCAGGTTCACCAACCCTTCTCACAGGTATGGCAAACGGACTAAACTTCACTCTTCAATAATTTGGGCTTGTTATTTAATGAAACCCCCGGAGACCTAGACAGATTTAAGAGGGAGTTTGTACAAACTCATATTTCATGTGTGAAAACCTGTTCATAACTACTGTTTGACCTAACTTGTTAACATTACCTAAACTTCACACAGTGAGAGATGATAATAGTTTAAGCTTCTGAAGCATAGTTTAGTTAGGGGGAAATATTTCTAGTAAAGAGCATACTGGGATCCTTCATATTTAGGTGCTTGGTTACTAGACAAAGGGTTTAGCAATGCAGATGCGCAAAGAGAATCCAATGACAGCTACACTTGCCTTCTGATAGGAAGTTTGTTGAAGCTATGGAATCTTGCTATGCGTAGTTATCTTATGTTGGGTATGTGTGTGAGGAATTTTAGCTTGTAGAGGAGGGAGAGTCTCTTTTCTTCCACATGAGATTTTATAATTATCCGTCGGTAGTTGTGCTTGACATCCTGGTTTACTGTTTCCACTTTATGGTTTGCTTCATCATTTGATTGCTCCGTCTGTTCATGGTTTTCCAGTCTCATCCGCTGCAACCTGATGGTTTTGGATTAGCCCGGCCCCGGTGAGGGGCACGGGCCATGCCTGCATCCTGCCACATACATTCAGCATCTTGAGGGGGATGCTGAGCGGCAAAATGTTGCAATTGGTAGGGTGCAGGCATGAACAACTGAGACCTGGTGGAGTGGATTGTTCAGCTTGCAGTATTTTCCGCATCCATCCACCAGTCTCAGTTTCACAGAGCCTCCTGCATTGCTCTGAGGATGCTCATATGCCTTGGCAGTTCCATTGCATGGATGAGCACTCAAGGCTATGATGATTATGACGGTGATGATGACGACAAATTAAATCAGCAAGAGTTCAGAGCCGGCAATCTAAGAAATTTGATCTGTTTTAGGTTTTTATTCTCATTTTCCATTATTTTTTGCCTTCTTTAAGCTCCCTGTTTCTACGTATGAAGTATTGTAACAAAGTACTGCTTGATTTATTTCACAGCCTCATCAAAGCTCCAAGCAGAAATGGAACTCAGTTAGAGATTTCGAGTAAATGTGTTGACAGGACATGCAGCCTTTGGTAGTTTTGGTGCCAGACTGACAGTGATAACAGAGAGCTCTGTTCTCCTATGGCAAAGCAATCTCCAGGAGAGACTCTGCACATTATGTATTTAAACGAAAAGTGTTTCCCCTTTTCTTTTTGTTCAGACAATATTCAACTGCTTTGGTCTTTCGCCGACTTATTTGTAGCTGAAGTGTTTTGTTCAGAACTCTTTCATTGGTCGTTACCAAAATGATCCTAACTGGCAATTATCCCAGTGTTGCTCTATGGTTTACAAATCCTAGGTTCTCGACGGAGAAACAGGAACCTAGGATGAATTTTGAGGAGTGTGATTACCATCAGGGTCAGTTTGACACTTGGTGGTCACATTTGGTCATTCCAGTGAGCAGGGCATAACATTCACGGTGTTGCGCCGAATTGGGCACCTTGTATCCCTTCTATGTTCTGTGTCAACAGAAAATTAGACTGCGCAACTAGAGATGGCAATATTTTTATTTAACCCAAGCCATTCGAAGTACCTTGGCAGACCTCTGGTTAAAAAAACATTGTTTGTTTCAAAGGGTATTAAGCCATTCAAGTAGTCAATACTTGATCAACCAAAAGTCTAGGACTGAATTCGAGTCAGAGAGTTTCACGTTAACGTCAATGGATTGTTGAACGAAGACGAGATCTCTTATTAAAGATGATGGAGTATTTATAATTACTACCAAATCTTTTTTGGCAAAAGATTTGGGTGTGGACGCTTAAGTTGTATTAAAAGTGTCCACGCCCAAATTATGTTGCCAATCAACGCGATATCGGTTGTTTACAATGTTTCGACTATTCCACTGTGTTATTATTCTAGTAGGTTTTACACTCTTTTTCTTGTTAGTTGCTGAGTGTTTTTAAATGAAAATTGTGAAAATAATTTTTTGAAGTTTCTCAAATTTTGGAAAGTTATAATAATTCTATGTCCAAATAATTTCATAAAGAAAATTTCCATAAAAGTAAAAATTATCCATGATCAAACGGACAGTAAGTTACCTATGGAACAGTAACCGATTGTATGTTATTTTTTCTTTCCTCCAATGAAATCTTTGCAAATTTTTTTGAATTGCTTTAAACGTTAATTTCTTATCTTTACATAATGTTCAATCATATTTACCCTATTTTTGTGTGTATAAGTTTTGTATACTAACAATATATGTAATGCTTAGCAAACGATGGTCTAATGATATCCTTTGGAGTTAGCTTATTTTTATTTATAATAATAAAAAAAAGTTTTTCAGTTTTCTAATTAGAATTGACAACTAAGTTCGATCTACAAGACTCCATAACATAAGAAATAACATATGAAAATCATGGAAAAGAAAAAAAAACAGAGATGAAAAAAGATCTTATACAAATACTACCTATTTCAATTATTGGGGAAGGAATGCACCAACCAAAATGAATCTTTGTTGTTTTGTTTCCCTTTCTCTTGAAAAATTGAAGATTTATTCGATATCTAAATTGATATCTATAGGTTCAGAGAGGATAATTGATGTTTCACGTGAAATTAATTTTTTATTTTATATATCATTAAATTAAGTTGATTACGTATTTCTACATATTTGTTACACCATCAAAGCTAGTTAATCTACAACAACACATAACTATTTATGTTAAACATGATATGATCGAGGTCATAATATGTTATATTTGTTTAAGTCATATACATATTCAGTATACCATTTGTTTTGTTTGGTATTAATCAAATAGGAGAATATTTATAAATATATATTTTTAAAAAATATAAAATTTACAATTTTAAATATAAGACAAATTACATGCTATAACAAGTAGACTGATTTCATAATTTATGACAAGGGATAAAAAAATTCTGCATTATTAATTTGTATTATATAAATTCATTCCATACGTTTAGAGTTCAGTACTAAATAGGATAGCGTGAATAGTTCTTTGATGTCGATGATAATCCGGAAAGATTAATGGGACTTTTTGGTGGTGTTACTTTGAAAAAGAGGCACATTCTACCCAAACAGAGACACTTCAACTATTTAGAGGCTGTCACCGCAGGGGCGGACCTACGTGGTCTCCAGGGGGTTCACCCGAACCCCCTCGGCAAAAAATTACACTGTATATATAAAGTAAATTTTCTGTATTTCTGTACATATATATATTTTGAACCCCCTAAGTAACAAAGAGAAGCTAATGGTGCAGTGGCAAGTCTCCCAATAATTAAGTTGTGCGTCACTAGTTCGAATCTCAGTGAAAGCGTTTTAATTTTTTCTTTTTCAGTTTCAGTTTTTTTTAGTTTTTTTTTTAATTTTCAATTCTGTTTTTCGTTTTTTTTTAGTGTTTTCTTTTTACTTTAAAAAATGTGCTAAAAGTGTGATTTTAAACCCAAAAAAATTAAAGGTTCTCATTTCTAGGCTTATTTACACATTTATACTTTTATTTTTTGAACCCCCTGAACGGAAATCCTAGGTCCGCCACTGGTCACAAGCATAGTTGCTTCAAAGAAGAAGAGAACAAGTAAGTCATAGTAATCTGCAGGCTCAGATTGCTTCTTGAAGCTTGTTGTTGCTCATTCATTTCATTGTGTTACAATCTGATATTAACACTCCTTAAGCCTCTAATTTTTTAGTGGTTTATTCTAAGCTTGAAAAATAGTTTTAAAAAAATAAGACCCAGAATAACATGGAAAAAAGTTATCTAGACCTACAACCTTACAACCTCTAAAGTACATTTGAATTAGCATAAGGAAAACATGGTCATTGTTGGTACACATTCTGGTACTTACCAAGAATGATGTGTCAATGTTAGGATAAGCATGCAATTGAGAGGATATTTCTTCTTAGAGAAACTCTAGTAAATGGCAAATAATTGAGTACTTGAATCAATTCATACACACTATCTATAGATGTGTAAGTAAAAATATTTTTTTCATACTTACTGAATATTATCCACCTGGCATAACAAGTTTCTCTAATAAGTTTAGATACTCACATATAATTGTTAGAAATCATTCCCTTCACATTTTCTTCATGAACACATTAGGTTCACTAGGGAAACCGTTAATTTTACTAAGAAATGAATATATTCATACGTAAACAATATCCGTCGGTTGCGATAAATAGCTAATACCTAAAAACATACGATAACAGATTTATACCAATTTCAAGTCACATTAAGAGTGATGTACATTTTTCCCTAGTGAATCACTTAGATACTCTTTAAAATACCTTGTACTTGTCTTAATGTTGGATCTATGTTGCAGGACTTAATGACTTTATTAGCTTATAATAGAGCATATATTTACTTGGTCTCTTTTTTGGATATTTTTGATGTCATAATTTCTAATCACTTTAGTTCCCACTCTTTTGATATCATGTTGGTGGCAGCAAATTCAAACCTCCGTAGAATGCCACACATGGGAATCTCAACAGAAGTTGTTTTTGTTAAGGACTCAATAAAATTGGTAGCCTAAAACCATTTCCCCAGCTTGAATCTCGTTCAATCCATAAACACGTGCAATCCCATCCATAAAATTTTAATAAGAGATCTTAAATACACAAAAATATATATATAACATAATAAATATTTAAAATTATTTAGTTATATTTTTATATATTTACTATTTTTAATGTAGTATTTTTAAATAAATATAAAACCTATAGTTAAATTTATATTGGATGTTACATTGAATAACATCCAATGATATTCACGCAATACATCACATTGGATGTTATTGTAAAAACTTCATTTATTAATATGAAAATTTAAGTTATTTAATTCAGGGTCCTAAAATATTTTTGATAATATGTAAATAATGTTTTGTTTAAAATATAAATTTTGAATTTTTTTTTATGATTTTCAATATTGTTTTAAGGGAATAAAATCACAAAATTCATCATTAATAAATTTGGGGCATAAAACAAACAAACACTTTACTAGTTTCATTCTTGAGTCACCCCTTCAATTTCTCACATTTGGTTAAACAAAATGTTTTGAAAAATATATTATTTAAGAATAAGGTGCTTAAAAATTAGAGAAACGGCTTATTATGAAAGTAGAAAAACAAATTTTATAAGTGGTCTTCCACACTAATTGTCTCTTCACCTTAAAGGTCATTTCAACTTTATGGCTTCAAAATTATAGAATGACGACATCAATTGTTAATAACTGGATTTCAAATTTAATACTTAATGAATTTCATAAAACAAATACACATTGTTTAAGAAAAAACTACTTGATTCGAACTGAACTTGTACTCGGGGTTCTAGCTCGATCCTTGCCCCACTCAATTACCCACCTCCTCAACAGTGGTGTTTGCCTAAATTATACTATATAAATGCCTTTTTGGACAACATTTTAGGATAAATTAGCCAACTAGTAAAAATTCCTAACATAATTATTAAAAATATATACATTTTAAAATAATTATTAAAATTATCAAAATGTCAATATTTTAACAAATAAAGTGTATCATAATATAATTCATTTACCTTCCTTTTATTTTTCAAATTGGGTCCACTTTTTGAATTCATTATTGGTGAAAGGAAAAAACAAAAGACCTCATTACCCTTTTTTTTCTCTCTAAATTTTCTTTACCCAAATCCTATCCTTTCTCTCTCTTTCTCCATTATTCCATATTCTCAAGTTACTTAAACCTTGCCTTTTTAAAATTAAATTCCTCCATTTTTCTACGAAATCTCATAAATCATTCAAAAGATTTTTAACCTTTGTTGAAGTAAATTCGACTGATTTGCGATCGTTTCCATTAGAAAAGAAAATTTTGAAATAATTAATTGGAATTTCGAAGTGAATTCGACCAATATTTCATGCTTACCAATAGGGGTGGAAGGAGAGTATGATCAGTTATGGCTCAGATTAATTCAATAACTTTTATTTATATTAGAAAATTTATTAAATATTTATAAATATCAATTGCCAATTTATTAATTTTCTATGAAAAATATTTTCCTTCGTATCAAACACATCAACTCTTTCTTCCCTAAATGCTTAAAAGTGCACTTCTTTTCCTAGTGAACTATGTTATTCTCATGTGACTCTTGGCATGGGGCTGACAAAGGCAAACAATCCTATCATCTCTCATTAACAACAACAAAAAAAAAAGTTTGAACTATATTTTAAAATTTTAAAAATAATGACATTTGAGCGATAATTATTAATTATATTGATAATGTGGCTAATTATCAAATATAGAATTAATTCAATGTATTACACTATGTATTAGTGTATGAATTTGTTTTGTATCTATTGTGTTTGTTCGCTTTGTATGGATTTGCTCTGTATTGAATAGATCAGCTTCAAACGAACATATATAAATCAAAACTAATAAAATCGAAGCTCTAGCTATGCATTGTAATTTTTAAAAACTCTCACTATTTCGAATAATTATAGGGGATATGATTGCTCTTTGAGGAGAATTTTCCTTTATTTATCTTACCAGTACTCACAAATCAAATTACATTATGAGTTTAAATTATGTGCACTAACAATATATATAACGCTTAGTAAGCGATGGTCTTATAATTAACCTACATAGATTAGAGCTAGCTTATTGTTACAAAAAGAAGGGGGGAAATCCCAGCTCATTCTACAAGACTACATATTAAAAAAAATATGAAAGTACATAATTTCCTATAGAGAAATGGACATGAAAAGATCAAAACATGGAAAAAGATTTGATATCAATACTACCTATTTTGATTGTTGTGCTGGAGGAAGCGCCAATCCCTAGATATGTGACAAATAAATAAAGTAAACCTTATATTGTTTCGTTTCCTTCTTTCTTTGAAGTTTGAACGCTTAATATCTATTCAAAGTTAAAACTGATATTGTCAAGGTCACATCTACTTAGATCCAGAAGGAGGCTATGCAATAATTTCTGGAATATAATCACTGGTCTGATGCTTCAAGCAAAATCAATTTACTTTTTTTATATCATTAGGCTAAGTTGACCTACATATTTGTATATATTTTTTACATCAAGTTAAGTTAACCTACAATAACACAACAATTTCTATCAAGAATAATATAGTCGCCACCCAAAAAATAGAGTAGTAATTTGCTATAGCCGTTTAGGTTGTGTACACTTTCAATTTAATAGAAATTTTGTAATCTCAAATATATAAAATAGATAAATTATTATAACAAGTAAAATGACCTAATAGTATAAAAATTTACATTATACATGTAAATGACATGAAATAATTTTTTTCCATAATTCTAGAGGTGATTATTGCATGAGATACTCAAAAGTAAAATTGTCATATGTGTGAACAAAATTGAGATTCTTCACATGAATATTCAAGTTTCATGTTATAGCCTCATCTCTCTCCCGTGCTCAAATATTGCATAAGCATGTTTGTCTACCCCACAAGAGGCATTTTTTTTCTCACTTAGAATGTCTCTTTCTTGGCTTTATACCTTAACAAACTTATTATTACAAAACAATATCCATGTGCAATAAGGATGTGTTTGGGTATTGTTCAATTTTCATATTTTTAATTGGTCAAAATATTTTTTTAAAGAAAGTAAATTATTTATAATTAACCAAATGATTTTTTTTTATGAAGATGAGGAAAACAAGTTTGATACTATTCCCTATCTTTCATTTTGCTTGATCTGACTTTGACATTTTCGTTCGCAAGTTATTTATTACTCTCTCTAATTCATACTCTCTCCGTCCACAATTGTTTGGCAGGTATACTAAAAATAGATGTCCAAGATTAATTGTTAATTTAAACAATCAAGAAATAATTAGTCACTTTTTCCAATTCTGCCCTTAATGATAGTGTAGTTCAATTGAAAAGTTATGTGAAGTTTTGATATTCTTGGTATAGTAGGATTATATTAGTCAAATTACACCTTGTATTAAATTTTTCTTGAGGGTGTGCATGACCTTACCCTGACAAACAATTGTGGACGGAGGGAGTATTAATTGCCTGTTTTCTCTTTTACCTGGAGTAAATAAGAAGGGCAGCTTTAATAATTTATCCCTTAAAATATTTTGTGAAACTTTACAAACATGTTTACACTTTCAAAAAAGAATTATCTATAAAGGTAAAATGAGAAAGATTTAATTAATTCTATTTTTGATTTTGTAAATTGACAAGTAATTTGGGATAACTTTTTATAGTAATGTGATGGGACAGAGGAAATACTCTGTTCGTTCCAAAATAAGTTCCAATTTGACAAAACTCACATTCATCAAAATATAATAAATACAATATATAATTTACTAAATTACCCTTATTTAATAAATATTTCTTGAGGATGGATAGAAACGACAACATCAATTGATCATAATATCGATGGAGCCAAAATTGCAACTTCATGGGTTCTGAATTATAGAACAACAACACCAATTGTTCATAACTGACTTTAAATTTAATTTCCATACATACTTAATAAATTTCTTAAAACAAATGTTGTTTAAGCAAAAAATATTTAATTCGATTGAATTCATATTCGGACTTCAAACTCCACCTATGACTCCCACTTCAGCCCTACCTTCGCACCAATGGTGTTTGCCTAAATAATAGCATATGAATGCTTTTGGACAATATTTTATGGTCACCAACCGGAGCAGAAGGAGAGTATTAGTTATCGGCTCAAACGAACCCCATAACTTTTATCAGATTAGATATTTGTATCAAGAAATTTATTATGTATAGAAATTTAATTCCCAATCTATTAATTTTTCATAAAAATATTCTCCGTCATACCAAACACACCATAACTCTTTCTCACTTTTAAAGCAAAATCTAGCGTCTACTTCGTAAGAGGAAAAAAAAAGAGAGGCTTTCTCTTTCCCACACTTGATGGTTAAAGTGCACTTTGACCTGTGTTTTGTTATGAGTATAAAGAAAAGTGTGGGGGCTATGCTGATCAGGTAATCAATACTTCTTTTTCCTAGTGAACTGTGCTATTCTCGTGTGACTCTTGGCATGTTTATCAATTAGTCTGTACCAAGTTTACATGCATATGACTATATAAATATATGTATTTTTCCTTTTTCAAATAAGAGCCAAACTGAAGGTACTTATCCCCTCTAAGTTCCTACTAACACAAGGTAATTCTTTTTCTGTTTCTACTTTGCTCAATTCAAACTTCAGTCTACCAGATAATTTTCATAACATGTGTCTACATGCACAATATATGCACTGCAGATAATTTTCTATATTATGTTTCTGTATGATGTATCCTAATCTGGTTTTGTCACTTTTGTCAAGATATCTTTCAGGGCAAAGCAAGCAATACAGCAATGGAAAGAGAGAATTCAGAGCTGTACCTGCGCAACTGTCAGATTATTCGCGAGAATGAGAGGCTGCGGAAGAAAGCTCAACGTCTCAACCAGGAGAATCAAGCTTTGTTATCAGAGCTGAAACGGAAGTTAGCAGCTAAAAATGCCAAGCGGAAACCTGGATTTGAAGTTGAATTGGGTTCGAATTCTGTCAGTGATCAAATGGAAGCCAACAAACGTCAGGCAATGGAATGAGAGGTGCTTTATGCAGTTCAAAATTATGAGAAATTTCAAATTGGGTTTTACCAATGTCATAGCAATTACCAGGCAATGTGCCATTTGAAACTATTTATTGTTGCATTTACTCCAAAATAATGTACTAGTTTAGTAATCAAATCGAAGTGCTTAGATAAAAGGTCTACTACCAATTGTACTCCCAAGAACAAAAACAAGGAAAAGAATTATGCTATTAAGGGGTTGTGAACTAAAAGGCTAAGTTTTTCACTTCATCAATTATCAATCCACATTCAACTTCCTGTCTATGCTTGAGAATGACTGGTAAAATGCCTTGAAGTGCTTGTATGCAATATCCACATCTTCCTTTCCACATATCTCTCTCACGCTGCAATTCCAGAAAAGCAAAGTGAATTTATGGAAATTGATGACCAACTTAACGAAACAGGTGACCAATTAGAGCAAGAAGAAGATATATATTAACAGAGTAAAATATGTTAGTGTCCCTCAAGCAACATGTAACCATTTCATGAAATCAAACTACCATGTTCCAATTACAAATTACATCTTGAAACTTCATAAGTTAATTATTTAGTTGTCTGTCATTTATTTTACACCATAGAGATTTTTTTGTCTGAAAGAGTACACAAAATGCACATTTTTATAGAAGGTACCTGGATGTTGAACATTTTTCTTTCAGGATTACTTCAATTCGAAAAAAGTCAAGTGTATAACATCTGATCCCTACTTGCCTGAAGGACAAGCACTGCAGCTTGATAATATAGATCATTGCCAAATATGGGCTCAAGTAAAATTCTATGTCGGATGATGCATGACAAAACTCAAAGTAAACTAGTTATAGACCACTGCCTCGTATTACATTTCAGGTAAGGAAATACTTTTTTTGCTTTTGGAAGTCCGTCGTTTTCTTCCTTTTGTGACAGGAGTTCAGGAACTAAGGGTAGAGGAATATTTTTTTGGATTTCAGAAGTTTGTTTATGTTTTGCCTAATGGAAACCAGTCGCTGGTGTATAACCAACTTTCAGATAAATGGAAGAAAATTCTTGGAAATCCCATGAAGCGCTACATTGAATGGAGAAACTAAATGACAAGGTACCTGTGCATGGATAGCTGAGCAATACCACAATCAACAGTACGTATTCCAACTCCTGCAGCAAGTATTGGACCTATAGTTGATCCACATCCCATATCATTTCGCACCACAAAGTCCTGTAAGGATTTAAAAGAGTGGTTGCTTTATACAAGCTTACATACTTGGATCTTAAAATTTTAATAGACGTCATACACAAGATTTGTTAATGAGAGGCTGCAGCACATGTGGAGTTTCCTCTCATATCATTGATATAAACTCCAACATATTTTCTTATTGATATATACTGAGCATACAGTTCTACTTCTTGGAAACCTCTTACAAACTGAACAGAATACATCAGAAGAGTATTATAGCTAAGATTGTGCCTAGCTGTCTTCTTGCAAAAGATGTAGAGAAAAGTACTTAACAAAGGACTAAACTACACAGTATTTTTTCATGATATCCTCTCTTGACTGAATTCAACAAAACGGAAGAGCTCTCTATTTTATTTGATGCAACTCTTTATTTGGTCTCTGGACTTCTAGCCTCTTATGTGCTCTTCTTCCTTGTGTATAAACTTATGTTCATATTGAAAAGAAATCACATAATTATAGGACAGGCAATAACATACGTTGTCATGGGAGTCCTACTTTCTTTATGCAATAAGAGGGAGAGATATTAGGAGCTATGCTTACACTGAGGAGGTGAGGGACCAAACAGGGAGACACATAAATGGCTAAAACTCACTTAATTTACATGTAAATGCCTAGATAAACAAGGAGTCTTGTTACATAGAACCTTCATTTGTGATGAGGTAAGACCTAGAAAATAAAACAAATACAGAAAACGAAAGAAAAGATGATATGCACTTGAAGATTAAGAAGAAAGAGCAAGAAAAGTACATAAATCTCATTAATGGTAAATTAAGAACAATATATCAAGATTATAAAAGTGTATAATACCTTACGCCTGAAAAAGAAAGCTCTTATCTCAAAAGACACAAGAGAAAACCTAAGCAGCTACCACGAACAGTTTGACTAATGCACTCTGGAATAGTTAGTGCAACTTATAGTTGAGATAGTGATACACCAGTTAATACATTTGTAGCATTAATGCGTAGGATTTGAATCCCTAATAGAAGTTACAAGTTGACTCTTGAATAAGGGATAGAAGGGATTCAATTAATAGGTCAAGTCATGGCTTTCGTTCCCTCGTCCTATTTCTTTGATGGCTATGCTAAAGCACTTGGAAGTTGAAAATTACCTGTGTCGGAAGGCTGTGGAGTCTTGCAACTTCTTTAAAAAGAAAAGATGTAATTCCACTCGTAGCATAGCGTTGATTTGCATTATGCTTGATTACAAGTCCCTTCTGTAATTCAGGACGGTGGTGCTCCTCATGCTTATCAATAAAATTAGGGTGAACTCCATGAGCCATATCAGCAGACACTGTTGTTTGAATGAGATACTAGACAATAAGTTTCACATGATATGTAAAGGGAAAATGATGTAATTTGACAAGAAAGCTGGAAACTGATTTTTCCTCCTTTCTGTATGTAATGACATCAAAAGTTATTTCCATGTTAGACCCCACAAATTCTGGTAGAATCTATGGACAAGGAAAATGATGTACTACTTGGCTGGTTTGCATCACACCTACAATCACACTAGTCTTTCTATGAAGGAACAAGTTTTTGGGGAACTCTTTAGACCTTCTTGTTACATGGAATGGGACAGACTCCATCCTTAAGCAAAGGCTGTTAGATTTATCAATAAACTATTGCACTCGTCAAGGGAAACCTCAACACAGACACTTAGTGAGTCCAAAGTGCAATAGTGTATACAAATTAACATAAACTCAAATAACGAACTTATTAGTTTTCATTTGAAAATACAATTACTAATACACATTTGCATGTAATCAGATTTATATGTTCAGCAAATGAAACTGAAGAGGTGTAAGTTTACAGGGCCCAATGCTGAATTTATTACTGCCTTCTGAAAGAATCATGCAAAGCAATAACCTTTCCCACTATACTGTCTTATTTTGAGCTGGTCAATTGAATTACAGCTGCAGGAAATGAGGAATAACTGTTCACATAGGAAGGACTTAAAGAGTATGGAGTAGTCCATTCATAGTCAGAGATATTGAAAGGCCACAGACATATCAAGAAAAAGTACCAAGAAAAGAGTTGCGAATCGCGCGGGCAAAATCAGTTTCTCCTGCAGACTGATGACTTAGACAGTCAGTTATCCGTCTCATTGCCTCAAACATAGTTGGCGCACCAGCTCCTTGGCATGAATCTGAACCAACCTAAAGTCTTGATGGAGTTAGACCTCATGCTTAAGTAAATGGGAAACTGAAACAAGGAATATCAATTCAGATAGCTGATTCAAAGTTCAAGTTCAAGCCAAACTCGACAGATTGCGTAAAGAAATGTCTGCCAAGTAAGAGAATGTGAAACTTATTGTTCATTTTCTTGTTTTTAGGTGGAAAATGTAAAAAGAAGCTAAGAAAGAGGATACAGAATAGTAGAAAAATGCCTATAAAGAGGATTTAGAATACTGCTAACTGATCTTTATTGCTTTTGTGCTCACATGCAACATTTGACAAACATGACAGATCTATCTACATCAGACAAGTATTTTCAAGACAAAAATTTGGTCTGGGATAAGAGCTTGGAATATTCTTAAACTTAGAAATTGAACAACTGAACTGATGTTCCTCAAAATGTACCTTTCATTTAAGAGAGCATCTGTAGATTGCAGAAGAAAAAAATTAAGGAAATCACTGCTAGAACTTTCAGACTGCGCATACTTCCTACCTCTTCATTATCAAAAAGAGCGATCATCCGAATTGAATTCTCATTTGATAAATCTTCGGGCAAAGCACATGAATCAACAAGAGCTCTCAAACCACAAAAGCTCGATGCAAGATTATCCAGTCTTCCAGAAAATATGAACTCATTATTAGCACCTCCAAGGCAGCTAGGTTGAGTATCACAAATATTTAACTCAACACTAACTATGTCTTCAATTTTACAGCTGAGTTCATCTGACAAGATCTGCGATCACAGAGCAATACATCAATGTTCATATCCAGTATCCAGAATAGCCTTCGCGCGTCATTCCCTTGTGTAAATCATGTAACAAATTAAATATGTTGGAAATCAGATAGAAGAACAGAACAGAAGCAGACTCATGATAATGCCAAATGAGAAGTGTGTAACAACAAATCAGTGCTGCTACCAACAAAAGCAAGTAAACTAATATAGACAAGGCATTCTAATAAACATGCATGTGACAAAAACAGCAACGTGATCTACTGAGAATCGAGAATCAAGAGAGCTTCCAGCTTCTCCATCAGCTAAAGTATGGTCACTAGATATTTAATGCATTTGTTTTTGGAGACTACTAGCAGCTAAAGCTCTGTGTTTCCAGTCGGTTATCCTTGAAATGGAGGATGTTCTGATCCACCAAGCTTGAGCCTATAAATAAGCTCATCGACAGAATTTTTCCATAGAAGAAGGTAAAGAACCCGCTTTTTGTGCCTTGAACCTCTGCCATTTAGCTACCCATCTTGACCACTTATTCGGCACATTATTTTAACATTCTGAAAGTATCTCTTATATGCTGAATGCTGATCAATATACTACAGATTGTCAAAACAAATCTTGATTGGAAGCAACATAGAAATAGAGGGTTAAAGCATTCACTGTCTTTGACCAGGGAATGAAATAATGAGGAACCCATAGGTCAGTCTACATATGAAGATTAATAACATGATCAGGTAATTCCAGGAAAAAATGACGAAAGGAGTTCCTCTTTTTTGTTGTCAGTCAAAAGATTTCTTCAAGTATCTATGGATTGACCACACAATCAAGAAATTTTCTTGGACTACAAGTCAGATTCAGTTTAAATAATATGAACAA